AGATAGATAGATAGATAGATAGATAGATAGATAGATAGATAGATAGAGCAGGGAAAGAAATCTGAAAATTTTTTAAGGCAACGCTGTGTTTTCACATTTTTTCCATTTCATTTAGAAACTTCGGAATGTAACAAATTTCTCAGCAGTCAGTTCAGATCGGATGGCCTTTGGGTGAAAACTGACATCACTGCCAGTGAAGTTTAAATTTAATGAGGCAGAGCGATTGCTTTGGCAGGAAGACAAGTGCACATTTGTAGGCGGCGCTCGCTTGGATACCACCAACGAACATGTTAATGCAATTGAATTATTGGCAGTGGCATTAATTGGTAGTGGCTGAATTTCTTCCTGGATGTCCAATAATAAAGCTAATGAGCACAGGTCACGGAGAATAGAGCTGGTGAAGGTGACATTTTGTGAGGAAGCTTTTCTAGTTTCTAACCCACTGAGCACACTCAGAAGTGCCATGATAATTTACAGTTTTTCTATCATATTTAAAGGTTTGTACTAAAACAGGAGTTTCAATTGGACAACTTGTTGAAATGTATTTTGTTTCTGTGTCAAACCTCTGATCAGTTATCACAAATTAGTGCACAAGTCACATTTAAGAAAAAATGTCTTCCACCTTTTAAATTGAGATATTGGCTGCCGCTGCTTTACTTTACACTGAACACACTCACTATTTAATAGTCCCCGTGGTCAGGGCGCTAACCATCCACTGCAGGTCCAGAGTCTTGAAAGGGATCAGCACCAGACTGGTGGTATTGTCCAAGTCGATGGCACTTTCTGGGTACATGACATGGTGAGTGGTTTTGGCTCCCACATCCTCTTCAAAGCCACTGGTGGGAGCCTGGTTCATCCTGCAGGAACAGACAAAGAGAAATGGTTTTTGTCTTCTTAATCTCTGAGTCTCGGATTCCATTTCAGTTTTTCTTTAGCTCTTTCATTAAGTTGCATTTCTATTCCACCCACATGCAGTTTCTAACCCTTTCCACATGTCATCCAAACCACATGGCACTGATGCATGGAGGGCCGTGTGGATCCAGGTGACAAAAAATAAAAGGCTTATATTGCCCTGCATCATAACACTCTAGACATCCAAATAGCCACAAAGACAAACAACCAAATGTCCATTTAGAGCCCAACAATTTCTGGCAGGCAGGGCAAGGCCTATCTATTATTGTCCAACAATCCTCCCCTTAAGCTGGTGCTGTAATTGGTGGGCTAACGGTTTGACTGTGGCAGCTGGCTTCAGTCTAGTGGCAAAAAATGACACAGAGAAGAAGAATCCTGAGTCCGACCCCCTGTATGACCACCGTTATCTTTGGGAAAGCTCCGGTTTGAGTGGGATCATCTTCCTCATTACTGACTTGGGTACGACAGCTATAATACAATTTGACTTTTTTGGCCAGAGCCTGTCAGAAAAAAAAACTTTTGTTGTTGTTGGTGGCTATTTTCGATGAGTCATTACTCATGGACACCCCAAAGCCATTCTCTGTTTGCGGTAGGAAATTACTGTTGTGCCAAAAGGTTTGGCATTGGAGTTTTGCATAATAATCCAGTTTACAGATGTCTGTTTGCATAAATACACGGCTTATCTCATCATCTGCAGGTCTCTGTGAGAGCAGACATTTCGGCTCGTCTGGACCATTAAGGTTTGTGTTCAAAACGTGTTTACAGCAGGCATCACATCAGGACAGAATCCGGGACTTGATTATTGCTGCCAATGTGTGTGAAGAGGGTCCTGAGGGCATTTCAAAACTTGGTTCAATATTGTTTTACCAGAACTTATTGTGATCCTATTTTTTTTTTTTTTTTACCTTGTCCTGTTCAGAATTCTGGCAGCAGAACTGAAATCTGAGTACCGGGCTATGCTCAACACTTTGCTTTGCCAAGGGAGGCTTTGTTGGTGAGGAGCCACAGTCACTCCAATCCGACCCAAGTGTACACACACACACACACACACACACACACACACACACACACACACAAAATATAAAGAAATACAGAGAAAACAAATAAATAGTAACAATATTGATGATAATAATAAATAAGATAACAAAAAGAAAAGGATGAATCACCACGAATAAACATACATAAATAAAAAAATGAAAAAAGAATTCATCCCGTGGGTGTAGCGGGGTGGGCACCCCCAGGGTCAGCAACACCTCAGCAGACCCGGGGCCAGCAGAGTATTTAGATTAGCGTAGATGGGTGGCTTTGCAAAGCCCCACAGTAAGGTCCCTGAAGCAGTCCTGTCCCCCCGAGGGGCCCCGCTCACCCGACACCACTCAGCACACCCCCCCCCCCCGGGCCTCATGGGGATATATGTGTGGGTAAATGGGGAGTAGTGTGTAAAGTGCTGATAAAACAGGGGGGTGGGGCCACCTAGGTGACACCTCAGCTTCACTCTGCAGATCCCCCATAGCCCCCCAAACCCCACATGAGTTCTGTGTTCTGGAGCCAGAGGGGAGGGGGTTAAGAGGACGCATGCCAGGAGGGACATGACCCCCTCCGGAGAGGGGCACCCCGGTTGCCTGGTACCCACCCGGCAAAGTTATGGCCGGCTACAGCACGGTCATTAACCGATGTCTGTCTGAGCCCGGCACATTTACAAACGTACACAGGAATTACTTGGTGTCATGTTGCAAAATTACCATTAAGACCTGACAAAATGCAAAGAGACTTTGAATTAAAACAGAATCTTAACCAAAGTTGTAAATCCCCAGGTGTTTATGACTGATTTCAGCCCAGGAAAAGGTATGTCAAGTTTGTTTTATTCTGTCTATTCAAATGTAACAAAAAAACACATCATTTTTCTGATGGTGCATATGGCTTTTATTCCCCCCCCCCCCCCCCCCCACCCCACTGCCTTCCATGCAAGATCATAAGTCTCTACAGTAAGAACTTTCAGTTTTCTCAAACAACCCTAGCTGTGAAAAAGCATTGATTTATCTAAAACCTATATCCAGATGCAAAGACGTTCATGTGAGTAGCTCAAGTCAGGTGTTTATTTGGAGTAAATTAAAGGAAATTACTGTGGATAATTCCCCTTTTAAATCGATTTTATTCCCTTAAAGTTTCATTTAAGATAGCATTTCTCTCACAACAATAGTGAATGCAACAAAACTCTACATCTATCAGGGTGCTCAGGAAGTGAACTTCAGTTAATAAGTGGGGTTACCTGTGGGCTACTTGTTCACTTAAAAATATGGGTTTGCCAATTGCAATTGGCCAATATGAATACTCAACTTATGCTCCTACTCCACTTACTTGGTTCTGGAAATTAACACCAGATGGACTTGAAACAAAGCAAAGGAGATATAGTTCTCATTGTAAAGCCACAAATTGGTTTGCTTTTGTAAGTAAATCCATGTTTTAAACCAAATGTACAATAAAAGTCAAGAAAATATACCAAGAAAAATGAGTTTGTCCAACTTTGGCTAATGTAAAGAAACTGATGAGGCTTTTTTGTCCTGAAGTTTTTGTATTAAACCTATACGGTTCACAGAGTGTGTGAGAAGAAAGCACAACGCCTGGCTTGTTGGTTCATTTTCAGTACAGTGAAATGAGAAGAACTCTTCAGAAGCTATAAAAGCGCCTGTGCTTTCACCATTAATCAGTCGCACTCATATTAAGTGACTTTTAAAAGCTGATATATACACGTCCAGCTGAAATGTGCACATGTTCAGGTCATTCATTTGAAGTACATCTATCACACACACACACATACACACACATTTTTCAGCAATTCATTGCAGACCAGAGCACTGTATTTAAAAAAAATGCAATTTCAAAGTGGACTTGGAACATTTCTCACACATATCTGTACACTTCATTAGATCAGTTTATCATTGCTTCGTCAGTTTAATGGCGTCCTCCAAAAAACGGCTGGTGCAGGTTTAATACTGCAGCACAGCTACTTTATCTGCTGTCTGTTCAAGTTTCACCAGCACAACCGAAGCAGCCGGCTTGCTTTCATTTAGGTTTTGTGCCTTTAGTTGGTGATCTTTCTCCAGGAATGTCATTTGGCAGGGCCTTTATGTCGCTTTATTGTTTAAATGTTTTTTGCCACACACATGACAAAAAAATTCAAATGCAAATTTTTAATACATTAAAAACTATACTAAATCAACTCTGGTTTGACATGACTCAGAATAAACAAAAGATTCCACTCCCAATCTACAGTTTAGAAGCCGTCTTGAAAAACAAAGGATCACCGATTAAACTGCAGTTTTGATTTAAAGCTGGGACGTTTGGACGATCTATCAAAAAGACGTAAAACTCTTGAAATATGATTATTATGACTAAAATAATTGATCAGTGCATCCTTACAGCACAGTCGTTCTCAGGGCTGTTGTCATAAAATGGGGATTATAGATGTCCAGGCCTTCTTTTCTCCAACAAATTCCCTTCTATAGATATATAGCCACTTCCAAACCAGCCGTTATAATCCCTCAAGAGAGTCTTAAATCTGCCCTGGGGCCTCCACTATGTTTACAGGGCCCACTAAAGCTTTATGTGGAGGTGACAAGCAGACATCCATATCACCAGACTGAAAATACTTGGATCAAATGGATTTGTGGCATCCAGTCATTGTTTTATACGGCTCATTCCTAGTGGGGGTGCAGTGGGCTATGCCGTTTAATACTGGGCGAGGGGGGGGGTTCACCCTGAACAGGTCACCAGCACAAGATGGTGACAGCGCTAACCACCGCTCCAATAGGGATTTTGTTTTTTTGGGCCTTCTCTTTTTATTCTCTGGTTTAAAAGTTAGGCGGGAACATGAAAGTCATGCCGATCAATGATTTATGACATTTTTAATGTCAAGGTTGTTTGCCCTCCAGCAGGTTGTTTGAAACTATTTGCACTGATTATCATTCATTTCTGCTCAAAATGCTCAAAGCCAAGGATCCCAGTGTTCTGTAACACTGCCCGGAGCTTCAAGGTGCAGCCTGATCACACAGCGTGTAATAGCCAGCTCCCACTTTCTAAAGGTCAGCGGTTTTCAGTCCGCTCAATTCCACACAACCTGCAAGTCCATTGTTTCTACCGCTGCTGTCCTAAGTGAACCTGCAGGAACCTCCACTTTCCCTGCACAGTTCCAGAAAGCTCCTGACCTCTGTAAAAGTGAGAGACAACTGAGCACACTTTCATGAGGATGGTCAGGCAGTAAGATAACAAGAGAAGTTCCTATCTGCTTTACAGTGAATAATACAATTTACTTGATTTCATACTGAATTCAAGCTTCTTTTGTGCATTGTGGAGATGCCTGTCTAGCTCGAGCTGGATTTCAGTGGCAAAGGAAACCCAGCTGAATATACTGTATACTGTCCCTCGTTATCAGACCAATAAATCTTTTGACAAAATTGACATCTGAACACACCATGTCTCCCCGCATAGAAAAAAATGTTACACTGTCTGAACTGGCACAGATCACTGGGTAAAATCTTACATTGGGCGATGTTAAACTCATTTAATTGAAACTTCCTAGGGTGCTTTGCTGATACTAATTTGGAGCATAGGGAGCCATTGAGCTACAATCACAAAAAGGTCCACTGTGCAAAAGAACAGAACAGACTAACGAGGTGATTGGGTGCCCATAAAAACTAAGTCTTAATTACAACAATAGTTGTATAATGACACAAAAAGCTTTGACTGGTTTATTTCAGTTTGAGTTTACAGGAACTGATTAATAAACCAAACCCCAGCTTATGTGTCATCCAACAGGTTTTCTGTGTGCACTTGAAGGAAAAAACAAGAACACAATTGTTGATTGTTGGCCCCTAGAAAAACATGTCATTATGCTAATATAACACTCAATTGGAGAGTTTTTGGAGGCACACAAAACTGCTAGAAGGAAAACATTATTGGGTGAGAAAAAAGATAGTGAAAGCGGGGGGGGGTGAAAAAATCCAGAGT